CCCATTATGTGATCAAGTTGATAGCCTCAACTACTTCTATTTTCAAAACAAAACAAAAAAAAGTTTACTTGTATTTTCAGGAATCATTCCTAGTTTCACCAAATCAAATTTGACCATTCTTGTAGCAATTACATGTTAGCATTGTCCAGAAACATGGACTGTTTGATCAATAGCTTGTGTTAATAGAAACAGTTTGATTATTTCCACATGATCAAGTTGATAGCCTCAATTACTTGTATTTTCAAAAAAAAAAAACTTCACTTGTAAAAAGAGGCTATTTTCTTACCTATACCACTCCTATGGTGAGCATCTCTAATGATTCAATAGTTAAATGAATAGTGTCAAAATGATGTAGTTTAGCGATGTTGATCCGATGTGTAAATGCTATTTCTTCTATATTTCTGTCAAAATGCCAAACATAAATACTATATGTGGGGCCATCATGAGATGTAGAAACAAAAGGGCTTATCGAATTTTAGCTATAGCTAAACCTTGTTCTAAATTTGGCACAAAGTTTAGCAATTCTAAAATATAACACAAGGTTTAGCTAGTCATTGGAGGGCTCAAAATTGAGGTTTTGCTATTTCTTAAGCTATAGCAAGCCTTGTAGCAAAGATGCACCATTTTATTTTGACACAACTGACTCCTATATCCATTTCTAACCATTGGATCTATTTCTCAAAAAGTATCTAATGATCATGACTATGACTCCTATATAATGGATTTGGCTCAAGGACTTGGCACACCATTGGTGAACTTTGTTTTGCTTGTTTTTATACTTATTGTATAAATATTGTTTGATTTAATTCAATGGAATAGATATACAGCGGGTGTTTCGTTCTGGGTCACTTCATCTGCAACCTCGAGTGAGTGCTTTTATTTATATGCATAGTTAAACAAGTTTGCTGACTGAAGTTATGTATATTGATTGATCCATCAATGTCTAATTATGTTCTTGCCGAGAAATTAGGATCCAGTGAGTGTTTATACTTTTATGCATAGTTGAACGAGTAAGCTGACCGACGGAACTTGTTTTGATTGATCTATCATTGCCTAGTTATGTCCTTGACTTCTTGTTGGGGGATTAGGATACTTTTCAATATGCTTTCATGTGGATTATGTGGTGATATCGTGGCGTTGTGTATATAAAGCATTTGGCTTTTGCACTCTAATAATGCCATTATTTATAAATTACTTTGTTTATTAAGTTCTTTTTGTATGGCCTTGGACTGTCAAAATTTTCCTCGTCTATCATGTTATGTATAGAAAAATTCACATATATTTTAATGCGATATATTATAAAAAAATGTTTCATATGTGGTGCACCCACTTAATTGTGTTTGTATTATGAAGCTACAATTTTCAAATTTAGTTTTGAGGTTTGAAAGTTCTGAAATATCCTTTTTCACATATGATTTTGTCATTAGAAAGCATCTTTAGGTTGGAAGAGAAAATTTAGCTCTTCTTAAAATAATTAGAGTGGGCTCCACCAACAACAGCCCCAAGGGATGTTGTTAGTAAAATCTTGTCTGTTTGAATGTGTTATTTGTGTATATATTTTAAGATTCTATTCATTAGTTGTTATCATTACCTATTCTCTGTTGCTTTGGTTGCATGTATTCTCTAACGAGATTACTAACATTTTTTTTTTTTGATCGGCAAAAAGAAGACTTTATTGATGGAAAAAACAATTTACATCAATAAAGAGGAGCTTGGAGCTATAAGAAGCTCCAACCTCCTAGTTGGTGAGAAACCAACGCACAAAGCAAAAGCAAGAAAACCAAAGAGATTAAAACCAGCAGCCCTTCCAGGCTGTGGCTCTACAACAGCCCAACCAAGCACCAAAACCTCCAAAACCTCCAAGCCCCATTTTTGTTTAATCCAACACAGCAGCAAACATCTGAGGCACCTGATCATAGCATTCACCAAGAGCACCCCATTTACACAGACCAGCAGCACAACACCACAACAGAACAGGCAGATTAGACACCAAAACAGAACAACCTTAGAAGTAGAGATAACAGAGTCAGCACAGCCAAAGAAGCCCCAGAACTCACAATCAAATTACAATCCAGACCCCACCACGCAGATAACCCCAGAGCAGCCTACCATAACAGCATGCCAACCAACAAAGTAGCCTCCTAGACTCTGAGTTGCACCAAGACCTACCAGCAGCAGGTCCAGATGTACTGACTCACCCAATTGATATTTGAACCAATCTCAACCAGTTGCAGCTTAAATTCCATTTCTGATGCAACACTAACCAGTGTACCTGATGCAGCTCAGCATACCTTTCAACACAGCATGGCAACCCCTCCATCCAGCAGATCAGATCAACCAGGATATATAGCATCCCCCAAACCTTACTGCCACCCAGATAGAACCCAAACAACCAGAGCACCTCGTCAGCATGCAACCAGAACACCCCAGGGCTAATCATCAAGACCAGACCAACAGACATCAACTCTGTTGAGCTACCAAAAGACACCATAATTCCAATCCTATATTACCTTCCAACTCTATAAGCTACTAGAGCAATCTGCTGCATGAACTCCTAAGGCAAGCACTTTCTAATCTGCTGCAGATTATGCACCAGATCATGGACAGTGTAGTTCAAAGCTGGGACATAGGATTTAACCCACAAAGCAATTCGTACCTCAATGGTTTCACACAGAGCAACGAAATTAGGTTCCACCCCATTGAACACAGAGTCGTTCCTCTGTTTCCATATTGACCAGAAAATAGCATATGGTATTACACTCCACAACTTCTTTTCAATTTGCCTCATTCTACAACCATACCACCATTGAAGAGCACTCTGAACCGAACCAGGTGAAACCCACTGTATCCCCCACCTTTTGACAAAATAAGACCAAATCAGCCACACATAAGGGCAGTGAAGTAACACATGATTAATAGTTTCCTCCACTTCTTTGCAGAAAACACAACAGACATCAACATTGGCACTGAGGATACCAATCCTATGCAAATAACTAGCAGATTTGATTCTTCCCCTCCAAACCAACCAACTAAAGAATAGTGCTCTTGGTGGAGCAGGGGCCTTCCACAACCAAGTAGAGATCAAACTATTAGACCCAAAGCCCAATTCAAACCACTGATAGCCAGATGATACACTAAAGCCGCCAGATGAGGTAGCATTCCAAGTCAGACAGTCAACAACATTAGCTCTGAGCAAAGGGGGGCTACTTAGATGTTGTAGCAATCTACTCAATTCTTCTTCCTCCTAGGAGCAAAGAGGGGCCTCCTAAAATTAAACACCCAATTCCCATATACATCTCTATTGCTGTGAAACATGAATACAGACCCTTGCTTGTCAACTAATAGGGAGTATAGCCTAGGAAATTCATCTCTAAGACTGACGCCCTCTGCCCAACAATCAGACCAAAAGCTAATTCTTCTGCCATCTCCAATCTTGACCACAGCATTGCTCTTAAAAAATTGCATAAGCTCTGCCCTAGAAGCCACAGTGTAAATAATGTCAGCCCATATCTTAGAGAAAGTGCTAGCCCTCTCACTAGAAGGAAACCATGCCCCACCTAACTCCCTGTACTTACCACATATAACATCCTTCCAAAGAGAGTTTTCTTCAGTACCAAACCTCCACCACCACTTCAGTAAAAGGCATACATTCATAATTCTAATTCTCTTAACACCCAACCCTCCTATGTTTTTACTTTTAGAAACATCCTCCCATTTCACCAAGTGCACTTTCCTCCTCAAATATGAGCCACCCCAAAGAAAACCAGATTGAATGCTTTCCATCTTTTTTGCTACCATCTCAGGCATCTTAAATATTGAGAGATAAAGTATAGGTAAGCTGGCAAGGACAGACTTAATCAAAGTTAGCCAACCTGCAAATGATAGATATCTCCTCTTCCAAGAAGCAAGCCTTTGTTTACACTTATCAATCACTGGCCGCCAAGTTCTGCTACTTCTTAGGCTGGCTCCTAATGGCAGCCCCAAGTATTTGATGGGCAATTTTTTGGAATTTACAATTCAACCTACTTGCAAAATCTTGACCCAGCTCATCTGGAATCCCCACCCCACAGACCACACTTTTGTTAAAATTAATTCTAAGTCCTGACAAGATTTCAAAGCACCTGAGAATTCGTTTTATATTGACCATTTCCCCCCAATCTGTTTCACAGAACAAAATGGTATCATCCGCAAATTGAAGATGAGTAATCTGAAGACCATTAGGCCCAACAAACACCCCTCTAATCAGGCCCAAATTTTTTGCTCTACCCAACAAGATATTAAGTGCTTCAGCCATAATGATGAATAGGAAAGATGACAGTGGGTCACCCTGTCGAAGTCCCCTCTGAGGGCAAAATTCAGGAGTTGGAGACCCATTAACCACCACTGAAGTTCTCACAGAAGCAACACATTCCTTCATCCAACTTACCCACTTAGGGCCAAAACCAAATTTAGATAACATAGAATACAAAAATTCCCAATTGACCGAATCATAAGCTTTATGAAAATCCAGTTTAAGCACAACTCCACTTCCTCTAGCCTTCTTCCACCCATCTATTATCTTGTTAGCAATAAGTATGCCATCTAAAATATTTCTGCCCCTCAAAAATTCTGATTGAGATTCACTTATGATCCTAGGTAGCACTTGTTTCAACCTATTTGAAAGTACCTTGGCCAATATCTTGTATATGGAGCCCACTAAGCTGATGGGCCTATATTCATTAAGGCTAGTTGGGTTCTCATTTTTTTGGGATTAAAGCTATGAAGGAACTATTTAACCCTCTGACCAACTTGGCATTTTGATGAAATTCCCTCATAACTTGCAAGACCTCCTCATTCACAATGTGCTAGCATTTCTGAAAAAAACCCATATTAAATCCATCAGGCCCGGGGGCCTTGTTTCCCCCACAAGATTTAATAGCATTAAAGATTTCCTCCTCAGAAAATTCTGCTTCCAAAAATCCAGAATCATGGCCTTCCCCAATTGACCTAAAGGGGCCATCTCAGGTGGGCCAAACCCTCAAAGGCTCCTCAAACATGTTGGTAAAGTGTTTCAAGACCTCATCCTTAATAACTATTGGCTCTTCTACAGTATTTCCACCCACCAAAATAGAGCATAAGGCAATTCTATTACTTCTACATCTGGCCATAGCATGGAAAAATGAGGTATTTCTATCACCCAATAATGCCCATTTAAGTCTAGATTTTTGGAACCACATTCTCTCCAGCATTGTACTTAATTTCCAAGCATCACCTTTCAGTTCTCTTTTCCTAGCTACTTCATCTGCAGACAAAGCCCTTACTTCAGCCACTATATCAAGTGCATGAACTTCGTTCTCTGTAGCTTTAAGCTTGCTCTTCACATTTCCAAACACCTCATTATTCCACCTCTTCAAAGTTGATTTTAACCCTTTGAATTTGACTAAACATCTGAATCTAGCCCAACCCATCACATTTAGAGCAGCCCATGTTTGTTCCACAAATGACAAGAATTTTGGATGCATAAACCAAGCACTTATAAACTTGAATGGTCTAGGCCCCCAATCCCTCTCATCCTCCATCAAAACAATAGGGCAATGGTCAGAGACCAGTCTAGGTAAACCCCAAAGCTTGAAATTGAATGTCTGCACCCATTCTGGATTTAATAAGAATCTGTCAAGCCTACTCCATCTATCACCCTCTTGTGAATGACACCAAGTAAACTTCCTTCCACACATAGGTGGATCAAATACCTCTAATTGTTCTATCATTTCATTGAACTCCCTCATCCCCTTATCCCTCCTAGAACACCCTTTTCTTTCAGAAATGCTTTTAATCTCATTAAAATCACCCCCCAAGCACCATGGATCCAAGAATTGTGATTTAAGATTCACAAGAATATCCCACACCCTTTTCCTTCCTACCGGATCATTTGGCCCATAAACATTAACAATTACACAATTAAAAGAAAAAAAGATCGAACCTGCCAGGATAATAAAATTGCGATTGCAACAGCAATTCTTAAGCTGAAAAACTTCAGGATTCCAGATACAAAGAAGCCCACCAGCAGACCCTATTGAATCAACTGACACAAACTCCATTTTTTTCCCAGCCCAAACAGATTGCACCAGCTCTGAATTAATCACCTCTTTTTTGGTCTCTTGCAAGAGAGCCATATCTATCTTCCTCTCCTTAAGCACCTGCTTGATTTTCCTACATTTACCAGTTCTACCTAACTCCCTAACGTTCCAAGATAAAAGCTTCATTTAACAAAAAGCACTCCTAAATCTCCTAGAAGAAGTCAATTAACTGACTACTCCCTTTCCCTTTTTGTTCACCTTATCCATATCCATGGACTCCAATTCCATAAGCTTGCTCACAACCTCCTCCTCTTTGCCTTCACAATTGAGCCCGAGTTCTCGCCTTAACTGTAAAGTTGCTTCGGCCTCATTAAGTAGCAATCTACCACGACTGGAATCACTTGCCATAGACAGCGAAATAGCAGCCACTGCAGACCTAAGAATTGCTCCTTTCTTGACTTGTGCTGCTGGACCAATTCGGTTATGAAGCTCAAGGCCTCCTTTCTTGTTATGAAGCTCATGGATCCCCTGATGGACCTAGACAGTATGTTTTTATGATTTTCTAAAATATCTATAATATTTTCTTAACGATATATACTCAGACAGGTTTTCTTATTCACAGATATGTTGCAGTCATGAATGCAATATTACCTTCTTACCGTTCAATGGTATTGTGTACTGTACAATTGAGAATTTTTGTTTTTAATAAATAAACTTGAGATATTTTCTTCTCCTTGTTTTACTTTTAACAATTTGTTTTAAGTGGAGTAGAGAACTTAAGTGTTTTTCTTGTTTTGTTTTTAATTAATATTTGTGTTAGTGCTAGTACTTAACCTTTGATTAGACCATGTAGTGCGAAATTAGGGGTTTTATCTGTATTGTCAAAAGATTTTTTAGGTGAACTAGACAACTGAAAATTGTCTCTATGGTTTTCTTTTCGTTGTTCTGTTGTTGCTGCTGTGGTTTCCACAATTAATTTTGCTGGGCTAACAAATTATACTTCTATTTGTCATTAATACGTGAAGACAAGAATTTATCCACAAAAAAAAATATGTGAAGACAAGATTGGGATTGCCGTTTTAATGCTGTATAAGTTGTTGGATATAATAGTATTATACGCTATACATTATTGTTATCAATCTTTTAACATGAAATTTGAAGATTGATAACAGTAATGTATAGATCTATTGCACTAATAATTTTAACATGAAATTTGAAGATAGATCCAATGTAACATATATCCAATATTGTTTTTCAGTTGGAAAGAAATACCCTTTTAATGAGGCATGCATTTACGCTTTATGTTAAATTGGTCTTTGGCTTAAGATGTGTACTTCTTAACTCAATTCACCAAAATTTGCTTTTTATAAAAGGACTATGGGTTGGGAACTAGATTTGACTTTTGGGTCATTGAATTTGAAATAGCATCCACAATCTAAGCTTTAAAACATTTATTTTGGTAGAAGATTTATTAATCATAAGGTGAGAGGCTTACAAATCAAGATGTCAAGAGTTTGAGGTCAAAATGTTAGCTAAATGAATGCATTAAATTTTGAGAATACCCCCAAACATGCTAAATGAATGAAGTAAATCCTGAGAATACCCCCAAACATACCACCATCTTTAGTGACTTTCCGCTATCACCGATGTTGCCACCGCTATATTTCTAGACTTTTGGTGGCCATTATTTTCCGTCACCTCCACCATCCACCACCACAGCAGCAGCCTACATTCGCCACTGCCCCCATCACCTCCATCAGTGCTAGCTCCTTATTGTAATTGCATTACTGCTATCCTTTTGAGCATGATTTTCACGATCACACATTGTGCTACTACTAATTTCATTGCCACTTTGATTAAAATTTATAATTCCAACTTCTAGATATAATGGACTGAGATAAATTGAGAGAAAGTGTTGAGCTTCATTTTGTCATCTATCTTCTTTCAGTCTTGCTTTGCTTTTGCATCCACAGAGCTGGGTTTTAGCTTTCAGTAAAAGATCTTTTACAGATTTATTGTGAATTCTATATTCTTTACATGTTTGTGCAAGGTTTCCCACCCCCTCTCTTTCTGTATTTTTGGTGATTGATTAGGATTGGTCATTTTAACTTTTGATCAACCAAACTCAAGGTGAGAAATTTATCATGCATGAAGGCCTTTATATATGCCTTTACCAAAATAAATAAATAAATGTATGTTATTTGTGAGTTACTAATAAGATTCGTTGGTTATCCCAACAAGTAAATATTATCAATTTGCTTCCAACTCCAGGTACCAATAGATTCTTGTGTATTAAGGGTACAACATTCTGCTTTCCTTCAGCAGGTAGCATATATTTATCATTTTATGTACATTCTTTGATCAATGTTACAATATTGACACGAGCTCTTTGTTCATTTACTGAATGATAGTTATTCATGTTTGTGCAACAGGCTTCTTACATAACTAGGGGTGCGTATCGCAAGCCCCAACAACTAGATGGGCTTGTGGGTTAGATGTTTAGCATCAAAATATTTGGTTTTGTGTTTTTGAAAATATTTTGACATAGGATTTGGTAATGGATTTGTGGGTTTGATGTCACTAGTTTGTAAATACTTTGGTATTAATGTTTCAAATTGATAGAGAATTGTAATTATGTTTATTGGGATGTTTAATAGCTATTAATTTTGAATTATTATGAATGTCTTGCACAGGTGTATTACTATTTACATTGCATTTGTGTATAGAAAAACAGGTGTTTTGGATTATTTTGAACAGGAAAATTATTAAAATCCAAATTTGTGCAATGAATGTTTAGTGACAAGTGATATTTTGGTCGCTGTTAATATATTTGGCGACGACACATTGTTTTGTTGCTAAAAGTTAGTGGCTATTCCAAGAACTTTTAGCAACCAAAACTTAGTCGTTGCTAAAAAGTTGATTTTTAGCGACCAAATTAATTTTGTCGCTAAATAGTACTTTTGGCGACGAATTTATTTGTCGCTAAAACTACATAGCCTATCCAAATCTTAACCTTTTAACGACAAGTTAGAATTTTACAGCGACATAATATATGATTTTTGGTGACCAATTTTGCTTGTCGCTAAATGTCTACATACAGTGACAATTTATTATTTGGTCGCCAATACTTTTAGTGACAGGCCTTTGGCGACCAATTAGGTACTTGTCGCTGATTCTTTTGGCGACGAAATTTGTACTTTTGGCGACCAATTTTTTGGTCGCCAAATGTGCTTTTTGTTGTTGTGAAACTAACTCTCAACCTGTTTCAAACGCAACCAAAACTCCCAATAGCCAAACTAATTAACCAATAAGATGCAAATGGGATGAACAACAACAAAGTACATGGGTTCTCGGATCCAAAAGCAAGAAATGGGTTAAGTCTAAATCAGAATCGTTATAATCTCCCCCTTTAAGGAATTTTGTCCCCAAAATTTAAAACCAACTGATATTCATTAAAAGAAAACCAAATCATACATCATCCAGGCTTGCAACAAGGATAAATAGAGTTTTTCAACACCAACTATTACAATTCAATTCTCCAAAACATATTCAATGTTTATATATTACAACATATACAAGGTTTTCAACAAAAGTCTCAACTATCAACAAAGAGATCCAGTTACTTTCTTAAGGACTTCCGCCTCACGCTCCCAAATTGCCTCTTCAACCCCATGGTGTCGCCACAATACCATAACCAATGGAATAGTCTTGCCTTGCAAGACTTAGTCCCGAGAGTCTAAAACTAGTACCGATCTCTCCTCATACGAGGTATCCTCATCTACCTCTAACTCAGTCCAATCCAACACGTGTGAAGGATTAGGCTCATACTTCCGGAGCATAAAAATATGAAACACGCCATAAACCCCAAAAAGTTAGGGCGGCAAGGCCAAATGATAAGCTATTTCCCTGATTTGCTCTAGAATCTCAAAAAGCCCAATAAATCTAGGGGACAACTTCCTGCTCTTCCCAAATCTCATTAAACCTTGTCTCGGTGATACCTTCAGGAATACATGATCTCCTACCTCAAAAAACAAAGGTCTTCTCCTATGCTCGACATAACTCTTCTGACGAGTCTAAGCCGAAGCCAACCTCTAACGAATAAGCATGACCTTCTGCATCGTTTCCCAGACTAATTCAGGATCTAACATAGGTGCGTCACCCACATCGGCTCAATACACTGGAGACTTATATGGTCGGCCATACAAGGCCTCAAACGACGCTATACCAATACTCACCTAGAAGCTATTATTATAGGCAAACTCCGGCAAAGGTAAATACCTCTCCCACGACCCTTTAAAATCAAGAACACAACTCCAAAGCATGTCCTCTAAGATCTAAATGGTTCGTTCGGACTGCCCGTCAGTTTAAGGATGATATGTGGTAGTAAACGTCAATCTAGTGCCCAAGGCATTCTGTAGGCTTTGCCACAACTGAGCCGTGAAATGAGGATCTTTATCTGAAACAACAGTCACAGAGACCCCATGAAGTTGAACTATGTCCCTAACATAAAGGTCGACAAGATAATCTATCGAGTCACTCGTGCTCATAAGTACTAAGTGTGCTGATTTAGTTAACCGATCGACTATCACCCACACAGTATCATTACCCCTTTGAGTCATCGGAAGACCCACAACAAAATCCATTGTGACATGCTCCCACTTCCACTCGGCTATAGGTAAGGGTTGCAACAAACTTGCTGGTCGCTAGTGCTCGGCCTTCACTTGTTAACAAGTAAGGCACCTCGAAACAAACAAGGCTAAGGTCGTGGTACATCTTTGTGCCTCCTGGGTGTACCACAAGGTGCAAATGTTATAACTCTCGGAGTACCTCCTCCTTACAAGATTCTGGCTCGAAAAGACAGTCTAAATACTTTTAACTCAGTCCAATCCAACACGTGTAAAGGATCAAGCTCATATTTTCGGAGGATATCGACATGGAACATTCCATGAATCACAGAAAGTTTGAGCGGCAAGGCCAAATGATAAGTTACCTCCCCGATTCGCTCTAGAATCTCAAAAGGCCCAATAAATCTAGAAGACAACTTACCGCTGCTCTTCCCAAATCTCATTAAACCCCATCTCGGTGATATCTTCAAGAATACATGATCTCTTACCTCAAAAGAAAAAGGTCTTCTTCTACGGTTAGCATAGCTCTTCTAGTGACTCTGAGCCAAAGCTAACCTCTTA